GCTCGAGAAGAATTATAAAATCTGCACTGGGCAGAAAACGAAAAATCTCGTGTCTACCGTTAAGTACGGTGCGACACCGAAATGAAAACAGTAGCTTTGGGACATAAAAACCAGAGAAACTATAGCTATATTTCCTGTTAAACCGATTGTTATCAAGCACCGGAGCTACCTAAAGAACTGAAAAGCTTAGGCTGATATGGTTATGTCATATTTAACGCCCTTTAAGCCCAGTGCGGATAACTCCTACACAACCGTAAAATTGCACCGTTGATCATACCATATCTGATACACGTGAATCCATGGTCCCAACTGAAAAATCAAAAACACGTCTCCAAGGCACTATTTGTGCCGGTCATTCACAGCTAACGGAGCTCGTCAACAAATAAATTACTGCTACACCAACCCTCAGGGACTCTACTCTAATCTGCCAGAAGTGTGCCATCGACAAGCAAAATTACACTGAGTCATCGTAGCAGTGATTGAAACTTGGCTCTCGAACGACATACTTGATCCAGAGATTGAACTCAGTGGGATGTCAGTCATTCGAGATGATCGTCCATCTCGCGGTGGCGGTGTTGCCATTGTTGTCGAGATTACCTTAAATGTGAGACCATTACTCAACATTCCCTTGTTATTCCTGACGTGTCATTATACCGACTACAGCTAGCAAGTCAAGATGGTGGATCACAAAAGGACGCGGGGTTCTTACGTTTTATCAATTGTCTACAGGCCACCGAACTCCACTGTAAACGGTGATGACATTCTGGTATACGCCCTCCACTATGCTGTTTCAAAAAGTACTCTCATTACCTTATAATGAGCGATTTCAACATGCATGCAATAGTATATCTATCCCCTAATGGGCCATCATTTAAATCAAAACTCCTTAAATTCATGGACATATCAGTTTGTATAACGACGTGCATCGACCAACCAGACACCGCGGTTCAAAGACGCCATCATTACTGGACCTAATCATGACAAAGGAAGAGTTCGTGGTTCAGTCAGTCGCACACAACCCTTCACTAGGCCGTAGCGAGCATTCAGTCCTAACATTTGGTTATGCGTGTTATGCCAGTATGGTCGATAAAGAACGCGAAACCCGACGAACTATTACTGACTAATCCAAGCTTCATAAGCTAGCGACAGCTGTTGACTGGGGCCTGCAGCAACACAATACGGCGGACGAGGCATGGAATTAATTGAAAGGTAAAGTTTAGTGGGTCATATGAACAGCCTCGAAAGTTGTACCATTGAGTATCACCCCGGACCAACAGTTGGATCCGAGGCAATACACATAAATGGATCAACAAAAATGATGTGATTTTAGATAACACGCTAGCCCATGTGATACTACATGGCAGAATTACGAAACACTCAAAAAAATTAATTTTGGATGTTTGTGAGTAGTGTAAAGTTTGTAGAAATAGAAGTCACGATTAAAATTCACGCACAATAATGTGCCTCGACGGGGAATCGAACCCCGGTCCACGAATTTCCGGTCCGCTGCTCTACCACTGAGCTACCGAGGGCTGACGATTCGGTGCGCGAATTTTAATACATGACTTCTGCTTCGTGCGCAACGTATTGCCAATGAGGTCACAGTACCTGTCCTGGTGTTGCAGATTGGCTCACTCACCCGTCACTTCCCAATGGGCTGAAGTGTCTGTCCTTCAAATGTCCAATGGGCGACGGGAGTTCGATTCCCCGTCGAGGCACATTATTGTGAGTGAAATTTAATCATGAATTCTACTTCTACAATAAGAAAATACTACACGTCACTCATTAGAGCCGACAAGTACGAATGGCAGAAGAGCATGGTGCTCAAGTTTACTAGTAGCAACAAACTGATATACATGTATGTGAATGGCAACCAAAGGTTAAACCTGGACTACCACCACTAGAGATGGCCAGTGACTTAACGACTACTGATGTGAGTCCCGAAAACGCACTACTACTGCAGTTTGGCTCAGTGGCTGTAAATATCATGTAACCTTTGCCCTATCAATTCCCAACAAAAGTCGTCGGCTGATTTAACGTCCCTTTTACTTCAACGGCCGTCGTAAGAAAAGTACAGTTTCTCTATGCAAACAGTGCCTCAGGAATCGACAAGATCTGCCCAAAGGTATTTAAAACTCTTAACCCCACCATAACAGTACATCTTGCAGCGTTTTCCCAGGGTCTGTTTAACTCTCCATCCACTGCCGCCTGATTGAAAACGTGGAATCATCCCTACGATATACAAAGGCGGGGGTTAGCCATCGGATCCTGAAAACTGCCGACCTATCACTCTCCTACCTGTTTTACAAAATTGACGGAATCGGTAATCGCAGATGATTTGACGCAATATTTTGTATGCCTGCAAATAATTTCCAATGGCCAATAAGGTTTCAAACGCAGACGATCATATTTCGCAAGTCCGCTCCTTGCTCAGGATTCATAGACCAAGGCAAATGATGAAGGTGTTTGTAGATGTTTCTAAGACGTTCGACAACGCAAATAACTTCTTTCTCCTCCAATAGCTTGCTGCTTATGGTATCAAAGGCTGCATGTTCACCTGGTTGGAATACTACGTACACGACAAAACCATCAAAGTAAGAATGCCCAGCACTCACTCCGAAAGTCTGTGCGTCTCCAGTGGTGTACCGCACGGATCCGTCCTTTGCCCGCTACTATTTTTACGTCACATAAATGACCTCCCAGCAAACATATCTCTGATGCAGATATTCGCAGATGCTTCTAAAACATGGGGAGCAATTCGCTCAGCAACCGACCGTACTTATCTTCAGAATGATCTGGACCGGATTAACGAATGGTCAGGAAGGAACCAGCTCCAATGAATCCTGCAAAGTGCCACCTGCTGACGGTGAGTAGCAGCTTCATGAACACAATCTTCTGAGACAGCAAGTTTTGCAACAGGTGACTAGTGAATGCGACTTAAGTATCATCATTCAAGAAAATCTTGGCCATTCACTAATGCTCGAAAGCAACGAATGTGGCGAACTTGAACTTTTGGACCTTGAGGAGAGCTCTCAGCACCTTTGGGCGACGTCTAGTACCACTGTTGATCAACACATATCTTCGTCCTTATGTTGAACATGCGGTTCAGGCCTGGCGCTCATGGTTAAAACGAGATATTCGTCTCTTGGAGCAACCCCAATACAGAGCCACCAAGACAACTCGTCGACTATCCGGTCTAAGTTACGAACCGCGTCTGCGTTTACTCGTTGTGTTCTTTTCAGCATACCGGCATCTTCACAGAGACCTCGTTCTCACATACCGGATACTAACTGAAAGCGAGCACCTGTTTACACCAGTGCTGACTGTAGCCCCTCAGAAATAATGTCGGGACCATCACCTGAAAGTAGTAACAAAATACTCCCGTTTTGCTTGTAGGAAGTATTCTTTTTTCTCTCTTGGAATCTGTTCCCACTAGAATGCACTATCAACACATGTGGTGAACGTACCAAATATTACGACATTCGAGACTTCTGGACTTTCATTTTAACACAGCTGTATGATAAAGTGTGATGTTTTTACTACTGGTGATTCACGTTCCACCTTGGAACATGTTTGATGTTAATTTTCATGTGCACCTTCCATTTGTTGGGTCTTGTAAAGTTATGCTTTTTATCTCATCGTACTCCATTGAACTGTCGAAGCCAGAATAATTGCTTGACCTCGATAAATCACTCTTCACCACAGTGACCTACTCTTTATTATGTGCCGATGTTTGTGGTGATTCACTGTCGACACGGCTCACGTCTTGCCATCCGTTTCGTTCATCGCCTCGCTGCGAGGCAAATTTCATTAACCAGTCATTGTTCATTGTTGTTATGCTAAACGAACGCGTTTTTGTCCTTCAGAGATGATTGCGCATTGTCCACAGCGAGTTGAGCTAATCGTTTACCAGTGATCCAATCCAGGAGTCCGCAGTTGCTTGAACACATCATTGACCGATGTGCTAATAATGCTAGATTGGAGATGTCCTCGGTAAAACCTTTGTTCTTCTCACCTTTTCGAACTTTCAGTTACCGCCACATCCTCGCTTCTTCCCGCTGCATTTAGTGGGTTGAGAATGTCAGCAACATGTGTTCTACCACTAGTTGTCAGCATTCTATTGTGTGCTATCCAGCTTATTGTAGCGTTTCGCTTACCTCTCTCGCGCTTCGCCGTGCCACTTGGCTGGTTGGGGGTCACTTTAAGCTGAGTCAAGTTTTGGTGACAAACTATGTTCACTAACTTCGAGCGCTCCTTTCCCTTTTCCGACTTAGATTTGCCAGCCACATCCATCAAATCTCGTTTAGGCCTAGTTTTTACTGGTTCCTATTTGGATTAAGAAGGAGCATGTAATCAAGCAAATGGAGCATCCGCCTCCTCATTATGGGTTAGCATTCACACTGGTCCGAACGCTTCTACTTGGTACGGACTTTATTTGTGTATTGCGTACAAATCATGATGGAAGAGAGGTATACCATTTAACATATATGGAAAGCGGGTGAATAAAGTCTTTTTCTGATATCGGTTTTAGGAAGGATGACACAATTAATGTCCTGAGGATATTTTATGCTTGGTAAATAGAGAGCCTGGAGAAATTGCTTGTAAGTTTTAACCGGCCCTGTTCGGTTGGTTGCCCACCCAGTGCTCGTGTAACACTCTATGGTGCTTTGCGATCAACAGGAATTCCCTGCAAGATGGTTCGTGATTTAGCTTGACAGGTTAGAGTCGCAATATCACTTAGTCTGATATTTCCCTTGGTCATTCACAGATCTCATGATCGAGTTAATGTCGTACTTTCCAATGGTCACAGAACATGGATGATACATTTGCTTGACACATTTATCCTGAACTGACTGTTTCTCATGTACCTGGTCTGTTCACACGCAGCGAGCTTTTTAACCCACTGCGCACTTTGCTTGATTCTTAGCATAACCTATTTGTCATGTTTAATCGTGGTCTGCTCAACTGACATTATGCTTTTGCATTGTTATTTCATTTAGAAACCCAGGCGCTACTATTATCTCCGAGGAAAAGCGTTGAAGAAAGTTGTGAAAAAGACTGGACCCTATGCGTCGTTCCCTCCTGAATCAATGTAATGAGGTCTCCGTGGCACAAACTCATATTTCATCCTGCACATCGTTAACACTGTTGTTCTGAATAGCATTGAATAAGTGCAAACGATTTCTTCATTTTTGCTCTCCTGCGGTGAGTAGTACTCAGCTCATAGGATCTTAAACAGGTAAGTAACGGTCTAGTTAGACTGCCAAACACACCCCTGGTCCGTCTCCTCAGCTAACAAGGTTGATTGAGTAGGCAACACCCAAGAGATCGGTGACGTTCATCAGGTCCAAGAAAGATAGGCAAAATATTCAAAAGAATGACAGGGATTATTATCCGAGTCGAAAAAGGGTTTGCTGAGTGATGAAAGGTCAAACAACAAACTATTACTAAGGGTTCCGATTGAAAGCAACAACTAACTTTGGTTGTTGCGGAGTCAAATGGCCTATTCAAGATTCGAATGCTCACTCACAATGATACCTTTGAGCCAAATCGATTGTGCTCAAGAAACAGGCTTTCATGAGGGTTACTTAAGTCTGCTCTTTGGCTACTGACATTGAGTTCCGTAATGACGATCCAATTTTGCGGTTGGGCTACATGAAAATAACTGAATCGCTGTTGATTATTTACCATCAATGTAAGCTGGAAACTAACTGCTTGATGTTTAAGCTATTTTTATATTTTTGCACCACCACCTGGATGAGTTCTTCCAACAGTTTACCTATCGTTGCTGTTAAACATACAACCCTAAAGCTTCTTGATAGTTCTATGGCACTGGGGGATTTCAACACGTAAGCTGATGCAGACCAGTCACCGTTCCGGTGCGTCTAGTATGCATGTTTCCTGAAGTCCATGATCTAGTAACCAGAAGCAATCCAAGAGGCACTCGTTAATTGCCAAGGAAAAACGTGCAACACGAACTGCTGCCAGAAGGAATAAATTGTTGTTGTTAAGGAACTCTTGACTGGTTCTGAGGTGGCAGTGCCTCCCACATGCATCCCGCCCTCTATTACTCACCCGGGTCAACATTGGTTTTGATGCGTCGTGCGGACAATTTCACCGTGGCGACTATCAACGTTTGGAACAGCTGGTCACGGCCAGCTCTCAGCGACTGAGCTGTATCAAACAATGTGAGGAACTGGTTAAAAGAAGTGTGACAATGCAAGTCAGTTTCATAGGATTCCCTTGGGCATGCCAGAAACCGCGGAACTCATCACAAAACAAAGTAATGCCACAATCAGCAGAATTACTACATTTGTTTTGCAAAATAACGCCCTAATTTTCTGCAGCATGGCGCAACCCAGGTGCTTGCATAGAAAACACTAATACCCAAACCGATAAGAGCCAAAACTAATGTGGAACTGCAGCAACGACTATCAGCTACTCTCAAGCTTTCCCCGCCATACACAGTTGTCATCTTGCCAAACTTTATTTCATGATTTTCAGAGGCCACATCCACAGCAAATGCATCTTGATCACCAAGCGGGTTGTCCATTTAGTTAACGGGTGCTAGAACCATGTCGGTTGCTCCTTGTCACGCACTGTTTAAACGACCATGAAAACCTTACCTTCATCCTATGGGTTAAGACTGGAGCCTGTTGAAAGTCAAGAGAGCATTTAGTAGAAAAAATAAGAGAGTATGGCATAGTTCATCAAATAGGTAGACCACTGCTCGACCCATATGATGGTTCTAAATCTCATGGTTCATCTATAAATCCGGGAACTCCTTGAAAGGATAATGTGTACTCCAAAATCCCTGGAGCCTGGGAGATTTCATACAAAGATCAGTTTTCGAAAATGATGTTCAGCTCCATCGTTAGCTTGTTTGGGATATCTTCTGTGTGGGCACAGTGCAATACTCAATCTCACTCCAAGTCACAGACACCTGCAGTACGGCCGCACTTTAACCTCGTTCTCTATTCGCCCTCCATTGTCCCTCTGATTCTCATCACACAACATTGTGCGTGCACCGGTTCGATCCAGTTCGACGAGTTCTACTCAGTGCTTCCTACCTCTTGGATCTAACCTGTGCGGATTATACTCTCTCTCAGTTCTCTCTTTTGGCATATTCTTTGTCGGGTACTACGTGAGTAATCACATCAAACCGGGGCTTTTCGGGAAATATTTTGGTCCCATTCGAAAGAAGAAGTTGAGAACTCTCCAACTACGCGGTAACCATCGCTGCAAGTTAGAGCATAACAAAATTATAGTCATTTCGCTTCGCTCATAAATCAAACCTCTTGTCCGAAGCACTTAGCGATGCTTACTAGCGCTCCACCTATATCGTCGCTTGAGGCAGGCTGCTCAATACACGCTGCCGCTTTGTGTGGGTGTGTGCGTTCAGCCACGAGTCGTTTGATCGCTGAACCCGACAGCCTGCTCGGTAAGATATCCATCTGTCGCGGCCGACTGACTTTGGTGCGGCTGAACAACTCTCAACGCGTGTGCGTGTTTTGCCGTGTTTGTGTGTTACGCCTAGCGCACAGAACATTCATCATCATCATCATCACTTGCATAGGCCTTGCTGCAGACAATAAGGTGGCGACTAGCCTTCCAATGGTTCAAGATTGCATACGTTTAGCAGCGAATTGCAGTAAAGCCCTCAAAATCGAGGTAAGCTGCTCTAGCTGCAATAGATCGTACTCACAGTAGTGTATAGGCAAGGCAGTCCAAGAAGTGTAACAGACAAACCAAGTTGCTGACACATTTTGCTTTTGTTTAACATGTCAAGTCCTTCTAGTTGTCAACTGTTTATCTTTGCTTATGCAAATGTGCGCTAAGATTATTGAGACAAACGCGCATTTTGTAACTACTAAGATTGCTCCCACGGAGGTAAATATGGCCGCGCTAATACTTCAACTAGCCAACGTAAGCTCTGACTCCGAGCCGAAGAAGAGAGCTAGACTCTCCAACCGCGCTGCAGCGTTTATGTCACCAAACCCTCCGGTCCACCTCACTCCCATAAGCGGACAAGCCTCAAACATGCCTGGTACAACTCCTCCAAGCATGGACACTTAACCTGGCGATTCAGTCATGTCACCGACAGTGCAGAACCAAAGGCAATCCGATGCAGATAACAAGCCAGTAACGTACGTATTGATTGCCTCGACAAACACACCGGGAGCGACACACATAGGTCCATCTTCTGTACCGAGCACGCGTGGCGCAAAGCAGCTTTTACCGTCAACTCCAGTGGTGGCCTCTGAACAACCCGAATTGCCGGCAAAAAGTATAAAGCCAGCATTCGCTAGACAAAACCACCCTGAGTTAACTCTCGTGTGCACCAATGTGCCCGAATCCAAATCTTGCACAATAAAAGGCAAGTTGCTAGACGATCACAATCAGTGAAGGTCCATCTGTGATGCAGTTGGTATTAGACTTGAGCTTACTATGCTGAGACGCCTAGAGCGACACCCGACCTCAGTACACGCTAGTGAACCTTGAACTTTTCGAATAAAACTAAACTCAACAGATGAGACAGAGGCTGACCTGCTCTCAGCAGTTCGCCTTCTAAACTCACCGAGCGGCTTGCGCATATTACTCACCTGCTCTGGAAAGATCGCTCAAAATAAGTAGGTGACCAACGCGGCATTTCTATTAGCGATACCATGAAAACTATATTTGTTCATGGTGTTCCCGAGCTTCTGCATTCGCCTGATCAAGAAGCGCAATCGCATGAGCGAGAGCACTGGTGCAACATTCGAGAAGTACTCTCTTTGGACCATGTTGTTGTCAAATCCTTGACAACATTTCCGTCATCACCTAACTACAAGGGCTGCAATCCAAGACTAATGAAAGTAGTATTATGCTCCTATGGAGTGACCCAACATCACTTGGATAACTGGTCAAAGTTTCGAACCAGGTTGCCAACATCGATCCGGCTAAAGGCAGCAGGCGCGCGGCCACGATTCGTTAGCACTTCGATGTAAGTGGCAAGCGCCGTAAATTCTTTTTCTGCGCACTCCTGCCGAGAGACAGACACAACTGCACCCACGACACACAACAGGACAGAGCGCAACACGAACGAAACGTCTGTTCAGGTAAGCTCAACAATGCTATGCAAATTGACTGAAATTCATAAAACAGCAAAAGATTAAAAGCCTGCCACCTAACGGTTGGCTTAAAAACAAACATAAATTTGACGTCCATCAACACACTCCTAAGAAGGAAAACATTAGCTTATATGTATACAAACGCCCAAGGCCTTTTAAGTAACTTGGTCGAACTTTGAGTACTCCACGTCTCTCATCCGCGGGACCTCGTCATGACTACAGGAACGGTTAAAAATTGAGATAACCGATTCTGAGCCCCATTTACCGGGTATGTCACTGCTTCGGAACGGTAGAACTGGAAAGAGTGGTGGTTTGATTCTTTATTATAATACAAACCACCGATGTGATCGACCACCCGGAAATCCGCGCTCCTGATTCGCTTTGGTGCCGCCTATGGTTGCGAAACAAGGACTCATGTCTACTAGCCGTAATTTACCACCCACCAAACTTTACGTCGGAAAGGGACTACAAACAGAACAACGTCTTTCAGTTGGTTTTGAACAAGTCCTACACCCACATTCTTATCACTGGAGAATTTAACGTGTATGACATGGAAACACCAGCAACCGATGGTGCACAGTATAAAGCCTGCTTGCAAGAGCTAATTGCTAGCCACCCTTAGTACGACCACGCAACCTCTCCCACCATATTTCCTACTGCAAACAATCCGTCGATACTGGATCTTGTGCTAACTAACGAAGAACTCATGGTCGCCAGGATAGTTACAAGCACGCCAATGGGTTGCAGTGACCATGTGACTATATTCTGTGACTGTGTATGCTATGCGGAATATCCAGAAATGGAGAAAGATAAAGTGCATACTGTCACACAATACAAACTGTTTTCTACACTTGTTAAGTATATATCTCGGACTTTCTTAACCGAATGCTTCCCAGACGTTGCCTGGGAAACGTTCACATGGACGTTTAGCACACTGGTAGCGCACGCATCTGAACAAACTACCTTCAACCTGAAAGAAATATAATTCATTTCTGAGGAGCAGAACACATAAATGTATGTCCCTGAGGGATATGGGGTGGCGCGCTCACAAGTACTGCCCGAATGCCGAAACCTGGACTACCTGCATGACCCATGCTAACTTCCTTGTGAACTTGGTCCGCGAGGACA